TTTTTGGCCCCTTTTTGGCCCCTTATTCCTAAACGTTTTCGGCAATTACCCCCAAACTCTATTTCAGCTTTCCCTTTGTGATATGGAACCTTGTAGTACAATTTCAGAAAGATCCATACACTTACACACAAGTTATTATCTTGAAACTAGAAAAATGCTTGTTTTTTGCCCCTTTTTGGGCCCCTAATTCCTAATATTTTGAGGCAATTACCCCAAAAATCAATCCCAGCATTTCCTATGTGATATGGAACCTTGTGGTACAATTTCAGAGAGATCCATACACCTGAACACAAGTTATTGTCTGGAAACTAGAAACATGCTTATTTTTGGCCCCTTTTTGGCCCCTTATTCCTAAAATTTTGGGCAATTACCCCCAAAACTCAATTCCAGCTTTCCCTTTGTGATATGGAACCTTGTAATACAATTTCAGAAAGATCCATACACTTACACACAAGTTATTGTCATGAAACTAAAAAAATGCTTGTTTTTTGCCCCTTTTTTGGCCCCTAATTCCTAATGTTTTGAGGCAATTACCCCCAAAATTAATCCCAGCATTCCCTGTGTGATATGGAACCTTGTGGTACAATGTCAGAGAGATCCATACACTAACACACAAGTTATGTCTAGAAGTTACAAAAATGCTTATTTTTGGCCCCTTTATGGCCCCTAATTCCTTAACTGTTGGTACCATAACCCCCAAAATCAATCCCAACCTTCCTTTTGTGGTATTGAACCTTATGGTAAAATTTCGTAGAGATCCATTCACTTAAACTAAAGTTAGAGTGCGAAAACCAATGTGTCTTCGGACGACGCAGGACGACATCGACGACGACGACGCCAACGTCATACCAATATACGACCGCAAAATTTTTTTTTTGGACGAGTTACCGTAAAAACAACATTTTGTTATAAAAATGTAAGAAGCCAGTTGATTTTTATATAATGAACAATTATTGCACCGGATATTGCTTACTGAGTAAGTCATAAAAGATTCTAATTGTGGTAAAATAGTCTTTGTTGAAAGAACACAAAGTATGACCTGACCGGACTATAATAGAAATACAAAATAACAAGTTTTTCTTCATATTTTATTCGTTCGTATGTTTCATTTCAAATGACAATGACCAGTCAGGGGTACTACTTAAACAAGTGATTTCAGAATCACTTCCTCGAGTGATTTTGGCTGTGAAATATTAAAAATTTTCACACAGACTTTTTAAAATCACTGAAACAAGTAATTTTAGAAGTTAAAATGTAATCACTTTAATAAGTGTTTATAACATTTTCTTGATATTTTTCCCACAAGCTTGATTTTTTTATTGGTAAAAAGACAACAATTCCATTGAAAAAACAACTATGTACATGCAGAAATTGTCTTTTGCTTGATAAGCCTGACACTTTTACAGTTTTTTTAAAATATGCAAAAACTGGAATAGTTTGTAGATCAAGTCATAACCTTGAAGTAGATCATTCTAACTCTAAAGAAAACCAATCAGGTTACCTAATATTGTTGATCTTTGTCTGATAGTAAGAGTAGTTAATGAACTTTTGATTACAGAAAAATTCCCAAGGGTACTTTTAAAAGCTTTAGCGCACTAACTTACTGCCCAAGCGCACTGGTGAAATTAATATACAAAGAATAAAATGCTCCGCAGGGCGCAGCTTGATACGACCGCAGAGGTCGAACCCTGAACAGTTGGGGCAAGTATGGACACAACATTCAAGCTTGATACAGCTCTGAATTTGGATTGTGATTAAATATTTGACACAGCATAGGTTTCTGACACAGAATGAATGTGGTCTAAGAACTTAAAAATTTTAAATTGGACATTCACCTATTATGGTCCAATATCCAAAATCTAAATACATGGTTAGATTCAGCATATCAAAGAACCCCAAGAATTCAATTTTTGATGAAATCAAACAAAGTTTAATTTTGGACCCTTTTGACCTCAATGTGGACAAAGTTTATAACAGGGCCCAAAAATCAAAAATCTAAATACATGGTTAGATTCAGCATATCAAACAACCCAATATATTCAATTTTTGTTGAAATCAAACAAAGTTTAATTTTGGACCCCGATTTGGACCAACTTGAAAACTGGGGCCATAATCAAAAATCTAAATACATGTTTAGATTCAGCATATCAAAGAACCCTAAAAATTCAATTTTTGTTAAAATCAAACTAAGTTTAATTTTGGACCCTTTGGACCTTAATGTAGACCAATTTGAAAACGGAACCAAAAATTAAGAATCTAAATACACAGTTAGATTCGGCATATCAAAGAACCCCAATAATTCAATTTTTGATGAAATCAAACAAAGTTTAATTTTGGACCCTTTGGACCTCAATGTGGACCAATTTAAAAACGGGGCCCAAAATCCAAAAACTTAATACACGGTTAGATTCAGCATATTAAAGAACCCCAAGAATTCAAGAATAAAACCCCATTGAAATTGATCAAGAAATAAGCAATTTATACGAAGTATCTTCTTTTGCACAATACTGTGCAATTGAATATTTCTTGCTATTGCGCAATACTGTACAATTGACAATTTCTTGCTATTGCGCAATATTGTGCCAATGGATATTTCTTGCTATTGTGCAATACTGTGCAATTGAAGATTTCTTGCTATTGCGCAATACTGTGCAATTGAAGATTTCTTGCTATTGTGCAATACTGTGTAATTGAAAATTTCTTGCTATTGCACAATACTTATTATATAATAATTTAAACATCCTGTTTGGTGTTTATCTCCTACCATATCATTATTATTTGCTTTTAAATATAAATCAGAAATAACCAACTTAAAATGGAAAATTTTAAAAGAAAAAAAAAGGAAAAAAAGAAACAAAAAAACAAAAAAATCCCCCCCCCCCAATTTTTTGAACCCCCTTATGATTCATCACCCCCAAACTCAATCCCAGCCTTCCCTTTGTGGTATGGTACCTTGCAGTACAATTTCAGAGAGATCCATACACTTGAACACAAGTTATTGTCTAGAAACTAGAAAAATGCTTATTTTTGGCCCCTTTTTGGCCCCCAATTCCTAAACGTTTCGGGCAATTACCCCCAAACTCAATTCCAGCTTTCCCTTTGTGATATGGAACCTTGTAGTACAATTTCAGAAATATCCAAACACTTACACACAGGTTATTGTCATGAAACTAGAAAAATGCTTGTTTTTTGCCCCTTTTTTGGCCCCTAATTCCTAAAATTTTGAGGTAATTACCCCCAAAATCAATTACAGCCTTCCTTTTGTGATATGGAACCTTGTGGTACAATGTCAGAGAGATCCATACACTTACACACAAGTTATTGACTGGAAGTTACAAAAATGCTTATTTTTGGCCCCTAATTCCTTAACTGTTGGTACCATAACCCCCAAAATCAATCCCAACCTTCCTTTCGTGGTATTGAACCTTATGGTAAAATTTCATGGAGATCCATTCACTTAAACTAAAGTAAGAGTGCGAAAACCAATGTGTCTTCGGACGACGCCGGACGACGACGACGACGACACCAACGTCATACCAATATACGACCAAAAAATTTTTAATTTTTGCGGTCGTATAAAAAGGGATAATTGATTTATGTAGGAAAATTATAGAAAAGATTGTGAAAATATGGAAAATCAATGAAATTAGCATTTGAAGATCAAAGAAAACACTAAAATCACTTAAATAGGTGATAACTGAATTTATCAAATCACTGAAATAAGTGATGATGAAATCACTTGTTTAAGTAGCACCCCTGACTGATGACATGGGGCAAAAACATATAATAATAATTATCTTATTGTGAATGATTATAATGTCACATCATTATCTGTCAAAAGAAATGAAAACATTTGTTAAAATTTTAATACCATCAGTCAGGGGTACTACTTGTACAAGTAATTTTTATTTACTTGAAGAAGTAAATATTAATATACTTATATAAGTAAATTTGTAGGAGACTTATACAAGTGTATTTTATTTTCTTGTATTGGTAAAAAAAAAATTTGGCTTAGACATTCAGATTTTTTTACTTATACAAGTAAAAAAGTCATCCTACATGTATCTTCTTTTCTTGAATTCTTAGGACTTCTTTGCTCTAATAGAATTTTTGATTGTCTGTCCTTTGCAGATGTCTTTACTAAGCATTTAAGTGTAATTTCATGGACAATGAAAATCTCATTTGTCTGTTATCTTCAGGACACTGCTCATTTACAAGCCCCCAAGGGGCAATTTTTGAAGGCCTTGCACAAATACTTAAGATCTTTGCCAGTTTCTTTGTTGAATTAATCATTGTTAATGAAATGAAACATTGAACTTAAATAAAAAATTATGAGCTACATGTAAACTGAGAAAAATTGTTAAAGACATGCATGACTTGTTTTTACATCTCAAAACTTGAGAATTTTTGTGGGATTGTAAAAAAATTTACTTATACAAGTAAACTTTTGAGAAAATTAAGGGGAGATTATTCAAACATTATAATTAACTTTTATAAATTTATTTTATTTACTTCTTCAAGTAAATAAAGATTACTTGTACAAGTAGTACCCCTGACTGACCGTGTTTTTAAAGCACACAAGTGCAATCAAGATCAATTAAATGTACATAGGTGAATAATCTGGCTAATCCTATTATGTTGTCATGCATCGTTAATTTTTAGTACATCCGATGGGCAATAAACCAATTAACAGTCACGCGGTGTTGGGAAAGAATCTTTGGAGGAAATTGGGAGTATAATCAGTAAATCCGTGAATCGCGGTGTGACACCACTACACCCCGAAATCGGTGGTAAGAGTTCGCGATTATAAACTCTCTACGTGTACTGTAACGTCACAGATGTTGAGCTGTCGTATTTTCTAGCACACGAAATGCAACCTTGAAAAACAACCGGCAGCAAGAGGGTTAACAATGACAATACACACAAAACTTTATAAAGTACCACCAGACAGCTGTATTGCACAGGGTGGATACGACCTAATTGGGAAAATGCAAGTTTACCTATCTGGATCTTTCAGTGACCTCTCTATAGTGTCCTTTATTACATCTTTCAGGTGTTGGGTAATGCCTGTTGCAGGATAATGAGCCACCGATTGAGATAATATCAGTTCCATAAATTTAATATCAAAATTTAAATAACGCTTCACCTTCTCCATATATTCACTTTGTTTTTCGCTTAATTCTTCATTTGTAATTTTTTCCAAAATCGATGAAGGAGTTACCGCTGTGTCGCTACAATAAATTTGTAATTCTTTCTCCACATCTTTTCGTGACCATTGTGATACCCAAATATGTAAATTGGAAGCAGGTGATAAATGAGCAGTGCGTTTACTTTTACCAGACCCACTAGAAGACGCACTATTATCTGACATAATCGGTGCCCACAATTTGTCTGGTGTAACGTTTACCGGAACTATTAGCTTTCACTTTCACCCATGCGCAAAATTGAATCCATGTCTAATCGTACCTTTGACAACTCGTACCTTGAAAGACATTCAGCAATATTGGATAGAGAAATGGGAAATAGAAAATCTGAAAAATCTTCATTGAAATTGATTGATATTAAAACAAGGCCAATTGGAAATCCTCATCAAATATGGAAATTCACTTCAAACAACACTTAACCCTCTTGCTGCCAGGGGGGAATACATGTGTCCACACGAATCCATGACAACTCGCCCCCTTGCAAATCGTCCAACACTAAATCGCCCATCTTTTTCACCAACTCGCCCCACTTTTTAAAAATCGCCCCACTCTTTTTTACCAACTCGCCCCACTTATGAAAAAGGGTAAAATTCCGTTGAATAAAGGTCTGACAACTCGCCCCTATTATGAAAATGGTTAAAATCACGCTGAATATAGGTCTGCCAACTCGCCCCACTTATGGAAAATAGAAAAAACTTCAGACTGTGACTTCCGGATATTTCTGTTCTATAGTCATTATAATATAGCTCTTCGTCGGACCAATATTTATCTAGTCGGTTTTTAAAGGCATTAATGGATGGGGCCTTTGTTATTTTATCTGGTAGTTTGTTCCAGGTTTTAGCAATTCTAACAGAAAATGAGTAGCAATTCTAATAGAGAATGAGTAGCAATTCTAACAGAGAATGAGTAACTATACTTTATAAAATGTTGTAATATACCCCCAAAAAAATGAATTGTATTTTAACGAATACATGTACTGCGAAATTACAAAAAAATAATCAAAATAATAATAATAATAATTGGTACTTACTGCTTTATAGTCTCTGCATGGTCAGCCTGCGGCTCATCATGCAGAATGTCGAAGGAACCTGTGTGGTGCTACCACCACTGGTAAGGAAGGCGTCGATGGAAAACATCTGTACGTCTAATTAAGGGGTTACAGACTACTTTTAAGGTGCCATCTAAATACCATGACTTCGCGGTTGACAGGACTTTGAACTGCATGCTGGTAAACCAGTGTGGGGCGAGTTGGTAAACAAGAGTGGGGTTATTTTTTAAAAAGTGGGGCGAGATGGTGAAAAAGTGGGGCGATTTGCCAGTGTGGCGAGTTGTCTTTGCTTCCCTCCTCACCCGCCTGACTCACCGGCTGTGCCAGAGGGACAAATTTGTCCATGTTTTAATTTATGCAAACTTCTCATCATTGCTTTATCTCTATCAAATAAAAGACTGAAGATTAAACAGTGTAACATTTTACTTCAATGTGTCCCAAATGTAACGGTCAATGGGGTATGACGTTATTATTGGGCACTTGACGTCACAAACGTCGAGCCGTCGTTTTTTCTGGCACAAGAAATGCAACCTTAAAATACTAACGGCAGCAAGAGGGTTAACACTAAATTAGTGTCGGATTGATGTAAAGCAATTGCAAGTCTAGTAATACTAGCATCATGTGATCAATATTTTGTAATATAATTACAGTAAAATACTAATAGTATGTATACGGAGTCTTCCGAATAAGATTTTTTGCTGTCGGAATTCGGATTGATGTTGGAATACGTGGATGTTAGGTGTCACTTTTATACAAAACTTACTTTTTGTAACAATGCCAAAAACAAAATATATCATTTTATGTACTAAAAGAATAAAATCAATATTGAAAAAAAATAAATGCAATGTGTAATTAAACTTCTGAGATCATTAATAGTAAAGGTTTATCATGGTGGGCGGAGTTTTGACCATATCAGTAGCAACTGACTTTCAGCAAGATCAATAATGATATAACATCTCCCGCCAGATATGATTTTTGATGCATTGGGTGTGCATTTTCTTTATATATTTAGAATTGCTGAATTGGAATGCTTTCTTACTGGACAAAACCTAATTGATTTATGATTAAAGACCAATCCTGAAGTATCCCCATGATATATGTGTGAATTATATTGAAGTTAATGGGGTAAAAGTAGGAAAATCCTTATTTATTCAATTGTGACACATTCATTTTTGTCATGAAAATGTAGTTTTAAATGAAATTAGCTCCTAGATGGGTGCCCCTATATGCCTGATTTTCACACATGTTGTTCCTTGACCAGTTATCTTCAAAAGGGTGTCTCAGATTTCCAAAAACATCAATAGAACAAATTTTATACCCAATTTAATTTAGTGATCTCTTATGAATTGAGATTGCAAACTTCATTGAAGGTTTATGAGAGAATGAAATACAATAGGAAAAATCTGAGACACCCTTTTGGAGGTCAAACTGTGTTGCACAAGAATCTATAAAATATTTTGGGATTGTATGAATAACAAAGAAGCTAATTTCATTCAAGTGTTGTAGACATCACAATATAGCAACTAATTACATAATAATTAACAATGTAATAATCATGTCATAATGAAATAATCACCATTTGAAAGATTAATCTTTCTTCTTTCTTTTGGTACCTCATTTATAAAATTTAAAGCTGGATGAAAGAAATTACATCAGTTTAAAGTTGTCTGATTGGGGGTGAAAAAATGTTTGTATTATTCTACCTTAATCTGTTGTTCAATGATTGACGTTAAACAGAGGACAGGGGGGATAAAAAAAAAAGACAGTTCAACATGCCACATTCCAATATGCCGGTCCAACGCAGGAACCTCCTTAGTATGTGTTGAATAGCATGTATTAATGTTTTCTTTAGTTAGAGGGAATTTGTGTTGATTGCAGTTCTTTGATAGTTCCTTTTTAATTTATTTACAGTTTTTTTTTTTCTTAGAAGTTTTGTAAAGACATTTGTCTGTAGTTGAATAAAGGAATAAGAGGCATTAAAGCTGAAAACAATACAAATAAATGGGGAATGTGTCCATGGGACACAGATGGTACCCCGTGATATTTTTATTAACAAGAAAAATGGATTATTAATACACATCATGTTGACATGTATCATCGCACATGCATTATCTGTCCTTTATTGCCGATTGGGTATTTTATTTCAGCTTATATCTATTAATAACAACCAATGATATAAGGAATTCCCTACTGGCCACTCTTGACATCTCGCTCTCTAATTGCTTTGTGAGATGTGGGAAGGGAACCAATCAGAACAAGGCCCTTATTTCAAATTATCCAATCGGCAGAGATAATTAATTAATTATCATCCTTTTGTTTTAATTACTGCGCGCCTCATTTAGGCATTCTAGATAATACAACTGCATGAAGCAGACGCATTGCAATTTGGCATTAGCGAATTTAAAATATATATATATATTGTCTTTAAACATCGAAAAATTTTACGGGAAAAATTGGTTTAAATCCTTGGAAATGGATATTTCGGCAACGTTGTTAAAACCAGTGAAAGTATAGAGAACTTTTGTCTGAATAGCTGAATTCCCGAGAATGATATTTAACAGTGATACACTGTAGACTTTTGTGCACATTCCGGCGATGGAATTTATTGAGATCTGCTGTTGACGTGTGTAATCCTTGCATACCGTGTTCTGGTGATGGAATTGGTATCCGGTCGTTCCGTCCCCAAACCGATCCGGCCCCAAGTCGATCCGGCCCAAAGTCGATCCGTCCCAAGTCGATCCGGCCCACGTCGATCCGTCCCTCCGTCGATCCGGCCCCATAATAAAATATGAATAAACTATATTGACTTTGGAGGATTTTGTGACAAATAAATGGAATTTTTGTGACTGTATAAATGGAATTTGTAAAAAGTATCGTTGATGGATGACAACGGGTAAGTGAAGTATTGGAGTACCAGTCAAAGAATTATTTTACATCGATACGAAAATGAGTGTGATTGTGTCTGTTTGTATAGCAGTTTCAACATATTTTAATATGAAGTTATTTTCCATGATAACTTTGAATTTCATGGCGATTTTTATTTTATTTAATTCACACACAGAATAGCTAAATAAATATTTACAGTCCAATGGAACCTATAAAATTTAACTCATCATAATGACTTGTTTAATCAAATCATTAGTCTATAATTGGTTTGTTTATTCAACAATTGTCTAATGATTGTGAACTAAGGTAATGCCACTCGTAATCACTTAATTCAATCAAATCCTGATTGATTAAAGCTACGTAATCAACAAGGTCTTTATAGTTTGATCTTTTGTTTGGTGTTATGTGTTATAATAATTAATTGTATTTTTTTAAAGTTGACAATATTTTGAATAGCTGTGTGTAGATAAAAAACAAGTTATATGAGTATCCATTATTCTTTATTGCAAGATAATAACAAAATAATTACACTGAATGCACATTTTCACTCTCTAAAATATAATATCAACAATAAATTCATACACACTAACAAACACACTATCTCTGACACTCACATAAATATATATAACTCTTAAATCATTTACACTAACAGTAACACTGTCACTTACATAATATAAAAGGGGTCACGCTTGCAGCACTACAATAACATATACAGTAACTATCATACGCAGTACATATATAATATATAGAACAACTAACAGCACTATAACTGTTCAATTTGATTAGCTCACCAAGAAAAAACGCACTATATTATTTTCTACATAAGAAAATGCCTGTACCAAGTCAGGAATATGACAGTTGTTATCCATTCGTTTGATGTGTTTGTTTTTTTGATTTTGCCATTTGATTGGGGACTTTCCTTTTTGAACTTTCCTCGGAGTTCAGTATTTTTGTGATTTTACTTTTTATTCTAAACATAAAGAATACTCATTAAGCATTAAGCATTTAATAAATAAATGTTATATAAACATATAGATTGTAGCCACATATGCACTAACATAATACAAGTCATACAGTTCACTCAATGTCAATTAAATCACTCGCTGTCAGTGTCTTCTTCTGGTTCTGGGTCTGGCACAGGAATGTCGTACATGTGTCCGACGGCACGAAGGAAGAAGGAGGTGGTGATGGTACCGTCTTGAAGTTGCTCCCATAGTGAAAAGGTGTCCCTGTGACCGTTGATACTTGGTGCGTTGCCAAC